GCCCGCAGTGTAGCTAGCCTGGGTACACAGGGGGTGACAGGGTGCACTGAGGTAGCTAGCTGAGACTTGCCCCGTCTCACTCACGGCTAAGATCTTTGTGCAACTTCCCAAGTCATCTATTCGCTACTTGTTCGACGCCGGACTCTCGCACCACGGATCCCTAGGGAAGACCGGATCAAAACCGATTGAAGTAAGTCCTCAGTTTTGGTCTCGTTGTTCCTGTTTTCGGACAAGGCTAGGGAGCGGCCCTACACTACAGACGTACAGTAGTAATAATTATAGCCTGTTCAGGATGTAGCTACATCATGTATACAAACATTATTACACCTATCATGCACGTACAGTATGCTTGAACAGTTGAGTTGAATCTCCCGGACCGGGACGATCCACTCAGATCAGATCAGCTCTCTACTCTACATGTAGTAGGTACATGTAGCCTAGTTGGTATTATACAGAAGCCTTGCGTCCGGCGTCCTCGCCTTGTTTGGTGTCAAAATCGAAAAACATGTAGCCTATATACCAGATATACTGTATACTAGTTGTAGGTCTACATCTCTTGAAGCCGAAAACTGTAGAATTTTTTTTCAAAAAATTAATACTACTACATGTACTAGTAAAGCGAAATGATTGAGTGCGCGCGGCGCGATGCAAAACGGTAAACATTGTTGTCGTGTTGGAGGTAAATGCATTGAGTTGGAGCCTCTCTTGTTGGCGTGGTAAATGCAAGGAGTCTTTACCATTGTTTACTGGTGTTAGCGTAGGAATCAAGTCACCGGCCCGGATCACGCTCGAGCGCTTATCGCGATTTACTTTGACAGCCGCGCCGCGCGCACCTGTAGCTGTCGCTCTGCATGACAGGCGGAACTGCTATCGTTTCGGCTTGACATTTTGTGAACTGGTGAATGTGAGTGAGCGACTACTACTAATACTAGTACTATGGACTTGCCGTGTCAATAATTTATTAATTGCCTACACTGCACTGAGCTGCATCGTCCTGAGTCGCACATGCACAGCCAAGCGAGCCTGGAGCGGAACGTGCATCCCGGGTCCTGGACAGAGCAATAACACGCCCAGTCATCCAGCTGCCACAATCTACGATCATGTACCTTTCCGCCGCTTCACGGGCCATTGAATTATTTTGTGTGTGTGTTGCTCCTATACCGTACACGTCATGTACAATGTGTATCTGGAGAATGCACAGTGAGTGATGCTGGATGGAATCCCACTACTGTATGACTGCGATTCAGGACAAGGAACAGGGCCCTGTGATTGGATAGCGTGCAGCAGTGTGCACATGTTATGCACATGGTGCTAAACACACAACGACTGTGAAAACCAGCTCGCCGTGGTGTTCGGAATGCCGCAAAACCATGGAAACAACTGAACAAGCGCCGCCATCGCTTCTGCAGTAGCACATCCCGACGCGCTGCCCCCCAGTGGCCAACTGCACATGTGTTTGTGTGTGTGTGTGTGCATGCGTGCGTGTGTGCACGCGTGCTAGTGAGTTGCCGAATTCTAGCGCTACTGCAGCTCCGCAGATACCTGCTGCAACGATTATTCACGACCTGCTCCAACCACCTTGCAGTGCTGAGCCAGCTCCAAGTCACTATAATCCCTTGTGACTACCTAACCAGCTAACACACACGTGCATGTAAACATACACACATACACACACACACGCGCGCGCGCGCGCGCAGGTTAGCATGGTAATGGACGGATGTTATCTGCGTGCGAGTGGCAAAAGGTTATGGCCACTCGTCATCGTCATGGTGATGAGTACATCACTTCTCTATATAATGGAGCACCATACACGAGGAGATCGGCAAGGTCCTCAGGGCTGGAAATGGCACGGTAAATCCATGAGTAAGCCGTCAAGTGGATTTGCCAAGGAAAGTCCTCGTGCACAGGATGCCGTCGTTCACCCGCGAGAGGAGTCCGATCTGACGTGGATGTCTATAGCATCCTCGGAAGGAGGGCCCTACGCTAAATATCCTCCTCCACACAAGATGCAACTGAATCACCGACAACAGCAACAACAGCAGCTACAACAGCAGCAGCAGCTACAACAACAGCAGCAGCAGCAGCAGCAGCAACGACAACAACAGCGGCAGCAGCAACGACAACAACAGCGGCAGCAGCAACGACAACAGCAGCAGCAACAGCCAGTTCATAGACAGATCTCTTCTAGTTCAGGCGAGAAGGTGCCAGGTCGCGACATCCACCATCAACACCCGTCGTCACATGACCATGTCGGTAGTCATGACAACCCAACAACAGCACAACACGGTGGCGCAGCTGAAGCTTTGCCTTTACAGGCCATTCCTGCCTCCAGCCTTCCACGCAGACCAGTCGACGGCGGATGGCCCGATGCTGATCTGATCATGCGTCGTCTGCGAGCGCATCGCCAGCGCCAAGACGCCATGCTGGCCGGAACCGCTCCGGCCAGCCGCCTTCTCGTGGCGCGCTGTCGGCGCGGCGACATATGCGGTGGCCATGGCGACCGTGTGTACGGCCTGGTCTTCCTGTACCTGGCTGCCGTGGTGACGAACCGAGCGTTCTTCATCGACCAGACCAAGCCCCTGCCCCTGCACAGGTTCCTGCTGCCCAACGGGCTGGACTGGCGTCTTGATAGCATCCAGCACGTCGCCACGAGGATGCGACTGCGCGAGTGCGTCGACACTGGGCGCAGCAGTGTGTTCAGCGACTGCCGCTACCGGCAAATGCAGATGCCCAGCGCACGGTGTGACAACGTGATCGATGCCGTGTTCTTGCCAGCCAATGTTCTCGTTGTTCACACGAACTTTCGTACCAACTGCATTCGGCAGCTGCTTGCCCGCGCAAAGCTGAACTTAGCTGCAATTAGAAATGTTAGTAGCGGAGGCGTGTCCGCTGCGTGGGAGATTGACGAACGCTGGTGGGCAGTGAACGTCAGCCACGTGCTCTTGAACAATCTGTTCCGTTTCCGTGGCGATATCCTGACGCATGCCCGCGCCATTGTGAACGAGAGCCCCGCGGTGGTGCATGCTACCACTTATAGCAGCAGTGGTCCGACTGCTGCCACAGTGTTGCTGCAACGTGCAGCTCGGTGGAATTGCTTGCTGTGCATTCACGTGCGGAGTGGAGTCGGCGTCCACGAGCAACCCCAGCATGTCAACTGGACCGAGTTTGCCGAGTGCGGTCTGAAGGCCGAGTCGCACATGACGTCCAGCAGTAACCGTGGCAACACGTGCATGCCCGGTAGCGCGCCAAGATGGCTCATAGTCGGCGATAACAAACACGCGGCAAATGAAATCGCAAGTCGCCTGCAGGCTGGCAATCACCAGCGACACATACTCACATCCAGCACGGTGGGAGACATTATCCACGTGGACCGGGTACAGACAACGGGCGAGACGTCCATGCTCCGTATGTACACCGACTGGTTTATGCTAGCCAACTGCGACTATCTTGTTGCCTCTCTCAGCACATTCTCCGCCACGGCGGCCATTATGAGAGGCGCGGGCGTGCATCGCTTTGATCTGGCCTTGCCCGGGGACGAGGGTAGCTGTGTGCAAAATCGCATCTCCAGCTGGCAGCCTGGCGCACATGTACCTCGTGCCAAGGCACGCGCGTAGACGATGGCGATCAAGTCGTTCCGTGAACGCGTGCATAGTCCTGCAACTGCTCTCACACGCCCGGTGAGGAGAGCGGCTGTGTGCACCGTCAATCATGGCGTATCTCCAGCTGGCAGCCTGGCGTACAGTCATGTCCCACGTGCCAAGACACACGCACACACACAGAGGATGGCAAGGAAGTCATCCTGTGACTGCATGCATAGTCCTGGGCCTGCAACTACTCTGAAAGTCACATATACCAGCTGAGATCAGCATGCAGTTACCAATGGGAACTGATTTTGTTGAAACTTTGAAGTTTGAACACAGCCCAGCCCAGCTGAGATTGAACTAACTTGTGGAGAACAACACACATAAATCAAGACAAAGGGAATGTGTTCTGCCATCTATCACACAGCGAGGCTAGTCTCAACTCCATGCCAGCCCCTTGCCTAACGCTGGGAGCGATGCTGTGTATATTCAGCAAGCCGATGCCATGACAACTCCCGCCGTTATGCAGGTACATTATGACATCATTGATGACATCACACCGTGAAATCATACCGTTTCATGTATGCATGATCACTGACAGCGCAAGAGCGTTCACCACCGAGGTGCCCTGTCACAGAATGATGGCGTAACCAAGACGATTCCAGAACAGTCTTGCAACTGTGGTCTCCTATTTCCAGGACCGGGCTGAGCACGGTGAGTGGTGTGCTGCCCGATTCATTAGAATCATTACACCAGGCAGCCGGACTCCGCACTGCGGAATATAAATTTTAAACAAAAGCATACTTTCCTTGCATTTGGAAACAAATTTTCGGACTGGCGGGAAGTTTGTTCGCGCATAATCTACGGATTGTATCGGAATTGGGGAAAAATCCAGCAAGAATACATGATTGTGCTGGCATGAGAAATGGTGGCCTTGGACTTTTGGAGTGCATGAACTCTGTAGTGTAGAGATTCAACCAGAGAGTAGTCATGCAATACCGGTATTGTACTGAAAGCGTTGCCATTGACGCAACTGTGCAAAATGTAGACTCTCTGAGACCCCCCCCCCCCCCCCCCCCCCGCCCGGGCTCCAAGCCCTACACTCATGTTGATATTATCGTCATCATTACGAATTTATGACACTGTAAAAGAAGAAATTTTCGGTAACTTCGATGCCGAAATTTTTACCGAAAATAAAACGCACCGAAAATGTCGGTATAGTACTAGCACACTTTGCGGGTTTACCGAAAATTTCCCTCCGCCGAACCGCCGATTTTGGAGAATACCGAAAATATTACACCACCGAAAATGTCTGTCCCCAAGTATGCTTTGTACGATTGCGATTGCGATAAATGGCGACAATTATGGACGCCTTCTTGAAGTTATATCTAGTTTAGATTCCTGTTCTGCTAGCAAGAAAAAGGTTTATGAAATGATTTGATTTACACGAGGCGACCGGTCTAGCATGCATGGGTGTATGTAATGCACTGACAGAGGATACAAACCTAACAAGACCATGTGCTGTCAGTAGCAGCATGACAACTAGCATAAGCAAATGTGAATGCAAACACACCTGTAGTGAGCGGGGAAAGAGAGGCAGCAGGCTAGCTCTGAGCTATGATTGGGTATTACGATGCTAGAGAGAGGGGGGGGGGGGGGAGAGAGAGAAAGAGAGAGAGAGAGAGAGAGAGAGAGAGAGAGAGAGAGAGAGAGAGAGGGAGAGAGAGAGGGAGAGAGAGAGAGAGAGAGAGAGAGAGAGAGAGAGAGAGAGAGAGAGAGAGAGAGATAGGACAAGGACGGGAGCTAGCGACAACAAGAGAGAGACAAAGCCGGCTAGCTAGCTATATTTGGTATCTTTAAAAAAAAACGTTGCTGTAATATACACAAAATTTAATAGTACATGAGAAGAAAGTAAAACCGTTTGGAATAAGCCTATGTTGTATGCATTTGGCTGATGATACAAGTACATTCAGTAAAAAATGGCATCCGAGCACACCTCAAAGTATTTTTTGGAAGAGAAGAAAAAGCGTGAATACGAGCGCGTCAACTCCGGCTGGCCGGGGAAGAGGGTAGTTAGCGAGCGGGAGGGTTTTTCAGTTTGTTGATGAAGGCATACTTGCTCATTGTAGGATAAGCAAAGAAATGGCGGTGCCGACTGGATAGGTGGTGGAGATGTTGGGAGCTAGAGTTATGTAATTGTAGGTTATCAGTGGACATGGACCACGATACCCCGTCACCATTACTCATCTAGGGAAAGAGAAGCACGGACAAGGAGGCATAGGAACAAGCAGGAGAGTGGCATGTATAGGAATGGGGTCAGCAACACAGCATTCAGCAAGCAACAGCCAGCCAGCGGCAGCAGCAGCTAGGGTATGTCAAGACTCAACCCAGAGGATACAACCGTGCATGCGTGGGGGCAGGGTGTGTGTGTGTGTGTGTGTGTGTGTGTGTGTGTGTGTACTTAATAATATGAACAGGCACTAAAGCGTCAACCTCCCTTATACAAATTGTTATGAAAGGAAATCGAACGAAACTAGAGATCGCTGATTTTGAAAAGGTTCATGGATACTTTCAAACTGGCTAAATTGTTGAAATTGGCTGCTGATATGATCTACCTAAGCGTTGAGTGTCTAGAACTGTGTATGAAGTGATGTGCATGTGATCTTGGTCAGTTTCTGTCAGGTTAGTGTATGTGTGTGCGTGTGTGCACGTGTGTGAGTGAGTGTATGCGTGTGTGTGTGTGCATGCGCGCGTCTGTTTGTGCATATGCAAGCATGTATGATGAACAATGAGGTATTTCTCCGGCTTCGACGAGTGTCAGTACAGAATGCTCCTGCATTGGCGATGTAAAAAGTACGACAGCTAGCTGGGCGACGGCGTATACACCAAATGCATGCTACATGTCACATGACATGCCCGGTGGCGTGGAACGGCAACTAACGCCTGCACATTGGGCGCGTGTTGCGATTCCGCATCCACTCCGCATGGCTCGCGGCGTGCAAACCCAGGCAATGTACACTGTGCGTTGTCATGGGCAATGGTTGGCATGGTGACGTGTGCAGGCTATGACATCATTCCTATCGTGCAGTGACGTCACTCTTATAGTGCAGTGAGAATGTGGTCGCCATGGCGAGCAGTGAACGTCGGCAGTGCCTCCTGATTGGGCTGCTGGCCGTCCGACTCAAAGCCTTGAGGGGGTGCCTGTAGTGGTGGTGACGTAAGCATGACATCATCAGAAAGAAGTGGCAACAAAGTCATGACATCATCAGAAAGAAGTGGCAACAAAGTCATGGCAGGAAATGGCAGTGGACTGATGTTAGTCATACATACACATGTGCATAAAATCTATCGAGTGCTCGCTAGGCTGTCGAGCCTCAGACAAACAAGCGAGTACTCGTCTGCCCAGCGTACTTGTTTCACCCCTACTGATGACATAATGGCAATGGAGCTATGACATAATGGCAATGGAGCTATGACATAATGGCAATGGAGTTCTGATGTAACGACAATGCGAATGTTGCCAAGTGCTTTCAGTTCCTCTGCATAGTAACACATGCCATGTTGCGGAATTTTCATGAACTTGTGCATTTGACTTTGTAGCCCACTGTAGTTATCCAAGCACACCTACACACGCACACACACACGCGCACACACACACGCACACACACACACGCACACACACACGCACACACACACGCACACACACACACACACACACACAGAGGCAAGCACGCTTCGAATGTCCGAAACCCTGGACGTGACACAAGGCGCAAAGAACCCAGCGCATGCACAGTACGGTATGCGGCTCTCTTACCAGATCAGCCCTGGAGGGCGACTGTCCGGGGTGGTACTCGTTGACGCCGTTCGAGTGCACCTCTGCTCCGTAACCGACGTTGGGGTCGTCATAGTACGCCTTGCCGCCCGTGGGGTTCACAGTGTCCTCGTATGCACCCGCCATGCCCATGCCGCCGTCCGGCTGATTCGAGTCGTCGTAGTACACCAGGTCCGACTGTCCCGGCCCGCCGCCGCCACCGCCACCGTTGGCCTGCTGGTGCTGGTGCTGGCCGAGTGACGTGGTGGTGCTGTGAGCACCCCCGCTGCCCGTCGCGCCCGGCTGGAACGTGCTCGGCGACGCGTGGGGCTGGTTGGCTTGACGCGCTGATGACTGCTGCGCCCTGAGAAGCATTAAAAAAATAAAATAACATTGACACCACAAACCGAGGTGCAGAGGACAACAAGGCCAAATTTACATCATCATTCGAACTCGGACGGTGAGCCCATAGTGTTTCATGTACAGTCCTGCTCAATGAAATCCAGTCTGCAGTCGCGTAACTCAAGTTTGCACCTTGCACCACTTCGCAGCTCAGTGTTCGCAGGTCCATGGCTGCGCAACGCCCGGCGCGCACTTGAGTGACTCGACTGGACTTCATGGAGCACAGCGCGATACTAGTTAGGAGAAGAGAAAGGATCAAAAAGTCGGGCGGTCTGCTGCGTTCTGTCGTCGAGTTGTAGTTAGACCGATTTGTCCAATGTTAGCAATGGATCACCATGTCAACACTCCAACATCACACCAAACCATGTCAACACTCGAAGGCGATGACGCCTGTTGGGAATTCCCTAGTAAAAATAAGAATAAAAATAAATAAATAAATAACACTCGAGCAACATGCGCCACAAAAAAAGAAAAAAAAAGCACACGACGAAGATGGGATTCGAACCCACGCGGGCAGAGCCCAATGGATTAGCAGTCCATCGCCTTAACCACTCGGCCACCTCGTCACCCACAAATGCATCGTGGACAAGGTGATCCACAAGGTTGTAAAACCTGATCTCGAGGCCGTTGGTCAAGGGTGGGGTGTGCACGTCTTCCGCATTTCAATAGCCGCAGCTGTGCTATCTCTTTGTCTGTAAAATGCTAATTGTAGGAGTTTTGCCCAATTTTGAAATCTTTTTGGTCAAATTTCAGTAAGCGAACTGCACAGAACACTTAGGCGGTGTTTACATGAGGCGTTTCAACCCGGGTCAGATTTCAACCCGCCATGTGCATAAAATGAATTGCGCGTTTACATGACGCATTGCGCTTGACCCGGGTTGAAATTTCGGGTCAAGAAAATCGTACAAACGTACTTCTGTGCGTATCTCGCGCCAGGTTTGAACGGCACTTGCAGATGCAAATTTCGCGCGAACGGATTCACGTGACCAAACAGGACTGTAGAAGTGGACTTTTGGCGGCATATCAGTATTTGACCCGGGTCAACTGTCTTCATGTAAACGCTCACCTCTTTTGTCTATCGTACAGACTTTCAACCCGGGCTGAACTCGACCCGGGTTGAAATTTCTCATGTAAACACAGCCTAACATGTTGTTACTCTCTGGTTACCATGATTGTCAAAGATGATTTCAGGAAAGTTTGATCAGCCAATTGCCTTTGGTTTTTGGCAAAACCAGACATTTTCGCAAAGGGATTAATTGGCGACAGACAAAGAGATAGGGTTGCTCTTTCCTTGCATGGTCTAAGTTGACGTCCAGCAAAGTAGCAAAGTGCATAGCTTCAATCCGTAAGCAGGAAGGCAAACGACAGAACAGCTACCTCTGCACCAGGGGTGTAGCAGTCGGTCCAGCCGGGCCGGACCACTTTTACGCCCAGAAGTGCCCAGAATGCAGGATTTTGCACCCTACAATTTAAAAAAAATTCCCGGGGGACACCCCGACCCTCCTCCGGTCGGACCACCTCCAACGGCTGCGCTGTGTGCCTGTGGCAGCATACACACGCAGTCTCTCCTGCAAACAGCCACGTCTCATTCAACCTCGATACGGACTTAAAAAATATGCTCGCACGCTACCTTCATACTTGCCAAGTAGCAGCGGGGGGGGGGGGGGGGGGGGGGGTGGGGGGTGGGGGACTCACCAGTCCTGGCTGTATCGCGGATCGTCGAAGCCACTCTCGGCGAAACCATTGCTGACCCCTCCGTTATTGGCTCCGCCAACAGCATTCTCGTTTGGGTAGACAACACCTTGTTCTAGGTTGGTTGTCCTGCGCACACGAGAGGAGCAACAGCCACCGGATTAGCATTCAACGTTAGCTGGCTGTGAGCAAATTACAATGGTCATACGGTTGATGAGTCAGCAGGTTTAGCGGAAACCATTAGCAGTCAGTCATGAATACAAGCGTGCATGATTGCCAATACATGCCGTCACCCACAGCAGTGACAGCACACAAACCCAAATGCATCGTACCGCACACACTGAGAGTACAGACAAAAAAAACAGCCACCGTAGTCGCCTTGACAACAACACTGGCGTGACCACAAGTGGCCATGTGTTGTCAAGACAACCGTGACACAGGGTCATGTTACTGCATGTACAGCACACTTGAGCAATGCTAACAATAGCCAAACACAACACGTCACAAAAGACACATGGAGGAAAGGGACAACTACGAACACGACAACACGCAACGTGATAATCATGGTATGATTATATGGAAGCCTTGCTCGATAGCTTTACTGTAAACTGTGAAATTATTGCCATGGTCTAATTTCTGCGAAATTCGCGACCGCGTGGAAATCGCGAAATTTAGACAGCGCGAAAATGAGATCCATGAAAGGTTTAGCAAGAATGCCACAGGTTTAGCAAGAATGCCATTCTGCAATCGCAAAATTAAAACCTCGCAAACCTGTCCGGGTTCTGAAAACGCGAACAAAAAAACGCCGCGAAAATTTCACGCTTCACAGTACCATGTTGTGTTTGGAAGTTGACAGCATGTTACAAGGCTAGGACGCACAGTACTCCTGCCTACAACCATAACCCGGTTGTTGGCCGAGATATGAAACCCCGCGGTGCAGCGGTGTCTCCCACTCCACAGCAGTGGTGGCGAGGGAAAACCCCGACTCGACGCTCAAGCTACAGTGAACAGCGCGTGCAACCATGCGTGCAGAAAACAGGAAACGATCGCAGTGCATGGAGGAGATGTCGCTACCCCCACATTCTGCAACGCTGCCCAACCATTAGTGAAACTCACGACAAGATCAGGAGGTTCTGCGACACGAACATGCGAGGTGCAGCACAAAAAGGTCCGTGCCACGGCTACAATTTTGCGGCAAACTGATACTTCATTTTTTCGGTGGCAATGTCCGCAGTCCATGGGGTGGCTTTCACTCGCCTGCACTCTCTCCACGTCATGACAACAAAAAGACAATGACAACAGGTCGGCAACAGGGATACACACAACACAACAAGAGTACATCAGCGACTGCTTGTAGGTACGGAGCTGCCACAGCAGCAACTCACGAAGGTCGGCCGTCAAACTGCCAAGGCATGGTTGTGGCATCACTGACACGTCACACGCAGCATTGGCCAGCAAGACGGGCAATTGGCAATACAGGCAAGTGAACATACACAGCACGTGCATGCACAAACACGTACACACACACACACACACACACACGCGCACACAAACAAAAGCACAGCAAGCAAGGAAAAGAGTGCACAGCAATGCAACAGCAATGTTAATTTGTTAGAAGGTTAGAAACGATGATCACTCAGTCACGAACATACAGCATATGAATAGTAAAATGACCTTATCAGTGCATTCGATTACAGCAGACATCAAACATGTCAGATTACATCAGCCATCATGTCATGCACGATATGGAAACAATACTATACATTCATCGGAGACTATATGTAGAGTAACACTTGGTGTAAGCGACCTCTGGGTTTAGCAACCACCTGCTCTTAACCACCGTTTTTACATGCACCGACAGTTCTACACAGACACTGTGGGACCTGGTTCTAAAGACCACCTGGCTTTAACGACCGCTTTTGCTTGCACCGTGGGGAGGTGGTCGCTTAAACCAGGTTTTACTGTACGTGGAGATCCTGGGAACGCAGTCACAACTCAACGTTCTTCACGCCGACCATGATCCACAGACAATGCCGGTGGAAAAATTAGACGCGGACCGCGCCTGACGTGAATTTGAGGGGTTGCAACTGCGACTTGTTCCGTCGTGATCACGAGGACACTTGACTAGCACGTTTTCAGCACTCTGTGGATAGTGATATCGTTCAACAGTGGCTAAAGAATCATTTTGTTACCGAGACAAAAACATGCCAGAGTGTGCAACTTTGCATGCGGGCTCTGGGTAGCAAAATTCGTCGTACACGCCATTTCGAGTCGTATGGTTGCACGGCACACTTTTCGTCTCTTACGCACCTCAGGGCAAACACACATCTTCCTGACATGAATTGACAAAACAAAAGAGTAGTTTGCATGCCGACATGTTTCAGATTAACCAATGTTATCATGTCATATAATGGAATGCACATTCACGCAAGTCTGCAGTACACAATACGGTTAGTTTAGGGCGCGGGTTAAGCGCTCGCCTCTCAGTGCATAGGTTAAAAGTAATGCTGTTCGCAGGCAAACGAAAGCAAGGAGGAGAAGAGCAGGAATGTGAGTACACAGTCACACCAGCACACGCAAGTCCATTACTGCCAGGACGTCTCGTTCAGACAAAGAACCGCGTGCGGGTGACTGTGCAGTGACTACAGAGCAGGAATGCATGAGAGTACAAACAACAAACAAACCCGTTGGCACTGTTATAATAAAGTTCAACTGTTGTATTTGCGAGCAGCACGGGTGAAAGTGTGCTTCACCCCATTTCAATATCTTCAGGAACAAACAAGAATGAATCAAAAATTTGCTTTGTGTACAGAAATAGCGGAGTTTACTCTCTTTAGGCTTGGTTTTGGTATTTTCGGCTGCAATTCTGTGTTTCACCGGCGTGCAAGCTGCGTAAATCTGCAGAAACCCGACGTTGAGAAAGATGGCGGAAGCATTCAGGCACAGTCTTTCGACCATGTCCGCTCACTCTAAATTATTTTGTACTCTCCGTTGCGTGGTTTTCAACTGACTCAAAGTACACCATGAGAATGCATGCACGTGGTCAGACGTGCATGCACCCACAGGACATACGGGGTAACGGCTGTATGAACAGATTCACGCACGGGTGTTTGCAAGACCGCCCGCCAACACCCTCATATGCAGTACACTCAAGCACAACGAAGCACACTCACACACACCCTCGCCGATCGACGCAACGCTCGGGTTGGATGTCTGAACAGTTGCTATGGCTGCACGCATGCAGAAGCACACACATGGACACACACCTTTTGACACACACACACACACACACACACACACACACACACACACACCACCACCACCACACGTGCACACACACACCCTACCTTAGTTGGGTTTGTCCCGGATAACTGGAATTGTAACCGTTCCCGTCTGTGAACAACACAACACAACACACAGAGAAGGGCACAAGAAACACAAACATTACACTCACCAAATATAGGCCTGACAAACACATGGTCGTCTCGTTTTGATCGAAACTTTGCAGGAAACCTCTATTCGCCTGCTTTCGAACGACTCGTCATTCGTAAAGATTCGATAATGTTGCACAGAGTTATTGCAGTTTTTTTTTACGGTGGTCTATTCAGGACTTAACTGCAGCAGCAAAATCAAGTACAGTAAATCCTGTAACTAAAGACCACCGTGACTAGCGACCAGCCTGGTACTACAGACCACCGTGACTAGCGACCAGCCTGGTACTACAGACCACCGTGACTAGCGACCAGCCTGGTACTACAGACCACCGTGACTAGCAACCAGCCTGGTACTACAGACCACCGTGACTAGTGACCAGCCTGGTACTACAGACCACCGTGACTAGCAACCAGCCTGGTACTAAAGACCACTTCGCCAGGCACGGATGGTCTCACATTCATATGTGGTTGTGCTGTGCAAACCTCTAACTAAAGACCACCTGTCACTAAAGACCGCTTTCTCTGGCCCCAAGGCCAGGGTGGTCGTTAGTAAAAGGTTTTACTGTATATATTTGAGAATATTGACGATTTCCAACATGAACGGTCAAAATAACCCTTCACGGTTCGCGGCAGACTGGGCTAGAGGCTGAGTTTTCCGCATCCGTAGGAACGCCACCACCCTTCATGGATCAAGGCACATGCATGGTAGATGAAGTTAATAATTCCATATCATATACTGTATAGCAGGAAATTTTCGGACGGAATTTATTTTCGTACGATTTCGTACACGGCCTCTTTTGTCCTAAAATAAATTCCGTACTAAAATTTGTTCATGCGAAATTATGTACACTATACATGCATACTGCTTGCGAACACGTGTATTTAGCATGCAGCACTGTACGAAAATATAATCCGTACGAAAGGTCGAAATTTGGCTTTGTCCGAAAATATTTCCGTCCGAAAATTTCCTGCTATACAGTACCAGTATGCGCTACACATGCCAGACGAAAACAGCGAAACGAAAAAAAAACCATGTCACACGTTACTCACCGCGATATGAGCGAAGGTCTTCGCGAACGCGATACGTCTTGCTGTGTCCGCCAGTACGACGGCGACGCGCTACGCAGATGATGATGATGATGAGAATGAGAGCGGCAACACCACCAATGATAATCCAGAGGTAGAGATTCTTCAGTCCGGGAATGAGCGACTCCGATTCCGCAGGACCCCCTGTGGGCCAATGTGGAAACAAGCAAGGAAAATAACAGCATGGAAACGCGCGCGCGCACATGCACACACACGCATGCATGGACATATATGCACACACACACACACACGCACACACACACACACACGCGCGCACGCACACCACACACGCACACCACACACGCACACCACACACGCACACCACACACGCACACCACACACGCACACCACACACACACACACACACACACACACACACACACAAACTAAATATCGCGGCTCGCATCAGAGGTAGTCAAATCGACTTTTCCACATCGACAGCAACACCATGCCAATCAAGGACCAAGGCGGACATGCGGCTCCTAGTGCGATGCGAGATGAGAAAGGACCCATCACAAACTGGTCAAAATACCATTTACTGCATCCATGGAGTGTGAAATGATGCGCTGATGTAATGTCAATGAGCCCATTGGACATTTTCAAATATGGACTACTGTAAAAGCCATATATCTAACGAAGTGCTAACTCTAACGAGTTAACGAGGAGAAATCTGTCGTTAAAATAGAAATCGTTATACAGAAATCGATACATATACTGTCCTATTGAGCGTTGAGAATAAGTGAGAATCGTTACCTTTGGTACACGTAAACCAGTCGATTTTGGGAAACCGTTATATATGTGCCTCGTTAGAATAATGGCTAGTTTACAGTACATGAGTCTAAATGCCGATGTGAGCAGGCTGGTATCAGGGATGCACTGCTGAAAATACCCCAGACGACCATTATATGCCCAGGTGGCTGCGCGGGGTGTCCGCGGCATAAATTACGTCATTGCGCAATGGGCTCAGCATCGAGGCGCGGGACGTGGACAAAAGAATATTGAGAGTGGCGCGACGCCGCACAACTTACGAACACTCGTCGTCATGTTGCTACTGCCGGCACGGTTGGTTGCTATGCAACGGAAATCGCCGCCGGAGAAAACAGTCACGCTAATCTCCACTGTGCTGCCAATGCGCGCTCGCCTAGTGTTCATGATTTCTGATTGCCCCTGGTAGAGGGTCATGAGCGGGTACGGTGAGCCAGAGCAGGTGCACAGGAGAGTGGCGTTCTCGCCCTCGCCTATCGACGCCACGCTCGGGTTGAACGCCTGGACGGTCGGCACGGCTGCACGTGTGTGTGTGTGTGCACGGCCATGCAGAAAACACACACACACACACACACACACACACACACACACACACACACAAACACACACATGCACACACACAAACACACACGCATGCGCGCACACACACACACAAACACAAACACAAACAAAACACAAACAAAACACACGCAAAACACACACACACACACACACACAAACACACACACATACACACAGGTCGAGGCACATGAGACGAATTCTGACAAGCAAACCGCGCACACAGGGGTTTTTGTTTACAGAAACACACGCTCAAGCGTCACCAAGCCCATTGCGAATTGTCAAATATGGAAGGCACGAGTAATGCAGTAATGTGAGTACGCTGGGATCAGGAAAGCACTGTTCAACACCCCCACACGACCATGGCCAGGTGGATGTGTGGTGTTTATGGTACAAATCACGTCATTGCGCAATGGGTTTACCAGGAGCACCCCCCCCCCCCCCCACCCCCGCCTGTGAACAGTGCGCCAGGCATCCAATTATATGCTTACTCCATGGTACGTTGACCGATCGTTGGACCACGTCCGGTCGGCTCGTGCGACACGTGTACTGCTGATTGCCGGTCACCATGACGGTGCGGGTTACGATATTCACGCCGTCTGCCGTGTCGCTCGTGGTAACCTGTCCGTCGAGATTCGACGCGGGCGTGTTGGAAGAGTCGTCCAGCGCCAGCTGGGTGCTCGTCCAGGTAACGGACGCGGCGTTCACCGGATACCCGGTCACCATGCAGGTGAGCATGTACAGAGCCTCGCCGCTCAGGGCCGTGCCAGCCACAGGACCCGTCAGCACCACAGCCGGTGTTACTAAGCACGAGAGACACAACGCAACACGAGAGCGGAGAGAGAGAGAGAGAGAGAGACGGACATTCGCACAAGATGGTCCTAGCCCGAATATTCGAACGATCATCTCGCTTTTCTCGTTTTAGCGATTGGTGTAGGCCAGAGACCGTTTGGAGAGTGTTGTGTGAATATGTATGGACACAGAATATGTATGGACACAGGGGAATCTGCCACTCTACAGTACTGACGGGCGCCGAAGAACGGAGCGCCGAAGAACGACCAGGCTAGGATTTCACCAAGCCCAGCATACCAATGTATACACGGTGACTCAACTGCCCATAAGCTGTAATACATGAAAATAAGAACGGCCTAAGCTAGGAGGCTGACCCGCCAGTTCTTCGGCTACCGACAGTACTGTCCTGTCACTACAGTATAGACCATACCATGTAGCACTCTTTGCCTCAGGCAGCCCGTGAATCAAGACAAGGCACTGATATGTCTACAGTTAAATTAACAAGAAGACATTTATTATAAAACAAATCTGAAGAGAAGGGAAACACCACTGAAAAGGCAAAACACATGAAGCACGGGAGTATCTCCCAAGCCAAGCAAGCATGCCGTTATGCATAATTATGGTGCGAGGTCATACAACTGTGGTACAAACCCAGTACGGGAGTACATGAACAACATGTCACATATGGCATGGGAGAATCCATATACATCAGGCACTTATTCGAGCTCCAGATTTTCGAAAATCTTCATCAGTATGACCCACTCCTAACCGGTAAATCGTGCCTCCAATGACTGACCGCACCACCCTAATTAATTACCTTCCCACGCCCCTCGGGTACAGTGGATGGCTACAGTGGAGTCTTCGCAATTTGCGGAAAGAAAAGAACAGAATGACGTTGAGCAACAAATCGTCACGTGAACTTGACATGTGCACTCGGACAATTACAGCACTGTTGGGGGGGGGGGGGGGGGGGGGCGAAGAACGAACATGCTAGGATTCCACTAAGCACAGCATGGCAATAATTATATAAAAAAATATACAGTAAAACCTGTTACTAACGACCACCCTGGCCTTGGGGCCAGAGAAAGCGGTCTTTAGTGGCAGGTGGTCCTTAGTTAGAGGTTTGCACCGCACAACTATATGAATGTGAGACCGTCCGTGCCTGGCCAAGTGGTCTGTAGTACCAGGCTGGTGGCTAGTCACGGTGGTCTTTAGTTACAGGTTTTACTGTAGTACCAGGCTGGTCGCTAGTCACAGCGGTCTTTAGTTACAGGTTTTACTGTAGTACCAGGCTGGTTGCTAGTCACGGTGGTCTGTAGTACCAGGCTGGTTGCTAGTCACGGTGGTCTGTAGTACCAGGCTGGTTGCTAGTCACGGTG